ATTCTGGATTCACCTGTGCCACTGCCACTCCAGGAGAAAAGGCTAAAAATGTTATCAGTCATCTTCTGAGATGCTTTTGTACAATGAACATACCACATAAACTAAAAACAGATAAAGGGCCAACTTACACATCAAAGGCCTTTCAAGATTTCATACAGTCCTATAATATTATTCATGTAACTGGAATTCCTTATAATCCCCAAGGCCAAGGAATCATTGAAAGATTTCATAAATCCTTTAAACAAATGTTTGCTAAACAACAACAGACAAGCATATTTGTTTCCCCCCCAAGATAGGGTCCATATGGCCCTGTTCACTCTTAATTTCCTAACTTTTGATAATAATCAACAGAGTCCTGCTATTAAACATTGGCAACCTTTACAAGGAACAGGCTCCACTCCTCTTGTAATTTGGAAGGATCCCCTATCAGATACATGGCAAGGGCCAGACTCCCTCCTCATGGTGGAGCAAGGATATGCTTGTGTTTTCTCACAGGAAGCAGAACAACCTACATGGATTTCGGCCTGGAATATCAAGCCCTACACTGTTGGACAGCAAAATGAAAGGTCTTCACCTAGAAGAAGGCCCTCACCACAAGCACAGGAGACTCCCAAGACCCAGTAATTCTCCCCCAGTTACCTGGGGTGCTATTAAGGCTCTTTGTGCACAGGCACAAAAGATGGCTCCACCTGGGACCCCTAAACCCATTCCTGGGCCTATGATGGTAGTCCTCCTGTGTGCCGTGCTTATTGCCAATACTGAACAAGCCAACCTGTCTACGGTCACGCAAGTATGGCCCCTTGTACCAAACCCCCCTGTCCTTGTCACTGTTGATTGGAATTCTACCTTACCCCGGCCTTTTCACAATGATTCTCGATTACATCCTTCTTCCATAGATGGAAACTTCTCAGTACCCTTTCAAAGGACAAAGTGGAATATTTCTGTTTCTTTGGGTTCTGTGTGTTTCACTAATGATGCCTCAAACCTATCTAATCCCAACCCTTGTGTTTATCTACAATGACAAAACCTTATAGGCTGGGATGTTCTCTTAACTGCCTTCGATGCTTTCAGTACTAAGCCACCAACTAACAGTGCTAAGCACCATACAACAGAAATTCATGCTCCCCCTCCAGTTCCCGTGTATGGGAGTTGATCAACCTGGGGCCAATCCCCCTGCCTTTTCTCTCCCCCTCCAAACATGTCAATCACTAATACCTGTCTCACTTTTTCCTTCACAAAGTCAAGCCATAGGATGGGGGCCTTATGGACCTCTAAATACAACTGCTGATGTTTCGTTTCGGCCTTATGAAAATAAAACGTATACCACTTGTGGTTCCAAACCCAATTGTATTTGGGGGCCTACAATTTCCTCTAGATTCATAGAATATCATCAGCCAGTTGATTTCAGTCCCCTTTTTCTGGCCCTGGGTGCAAATGCTTCCTTTAGTGCTCAAACATATTTTTCCAGAACAAATACTTCAGTCTCTTATGTGCCTAATAATACTGTTCTACCTTTTTCAACATGCCTCCCTTCCCCCATTCTTCTTCATCATAACCAATTCTACCCTACAGGTCCAGGCCAAGGTAATGGTTACCCCTTGCCTAAACCCTTCCTATGTCCCCAATTCTACTTGGTATATATATATTGACAGGAATCCCCCAGCGATCTGGATCCCCATTAATCTCACCAAAGACTGGCAAGATTCAGACCCCTTATTCAACCTGATGCTACACCCTTGAAGAAAACGAGATTTTGGTGTTTCTGCTGTTGTCGCTATCATAGTCTCAGTGGTCGCTGCCATCTCTGCTGCAGTGACTGCTGCTGTGACCCTCCAAAACCAGATTACAACTGAAGTACTGAATTTACAAACTCAAATAGACCTAGTTTGGGAAGAAGTTAAATTATTAGAGGCTAAAGTATTGGGTAGATGTCATGCAAATTTCACCAATATGTGTAAACCCCTATTTTTGCAAAAATTATGATCAATATAAAAATTTGTCACAGTATATATGGAAAACTTGGGACCCTTCAACATTTGTCTAAATTGACCCATACAATTATCCAAATTAATGATACCCAGGCCATAGATATAATGACCTTTAATAATGTATGGGACGATATCTGGAATGGCATAAGTGCTGGACGGGCAAAAATGGGGGCCTGGATGAGGGGGCTCATTCTTACTTCGCCCTATTTTTTATTTCTGTTTGGATTCATAATAGTCTTTGCTGTTATTAAAATGGGTAGACGGGCCAGACGTAGATATATACAAAACCATAAAAATGTGGTCCTTCTGGCCAAGGCTCTGGAGTCAAAGACAAAAGGGGGAAATGAAGGAGAATTTCAGGTCTGGCTGGGTCAAGTACGCCGCACTCCGGTCTCTTGAGCATGCTCAGAGACAAAAAACAGAGTTGAGCAAGCTCACTCCAGTGTGTAGAAACTAGATCAAGTCGACCATACCTCCTCACTCTTTGGGTCATGACTCCTTCGCCTCACCCAGACAATCACCCCATACGGTTTAAAATAAATTTAACTAATAAGAGGATGTCATATTTTCTCCATTGTGTACAATTATATCCCTTTCCATCCAATCAAATTATGCCAAGGCTAAAGCTGTTATAACCCCGCCTATGTAATCGCCCTTTTATTTTGCTATATAAGCTTGTGTAGTTCCTCCATAAAGCAGAAGGGTTCCTGAAACCTCTCTGGAGTCGGCTGGTGACTCTGCGCCTTACCCTCCCAGTCAGGGCTCCCGAACCTAGGTCTGCCAGCAGGCTTGCGGACAACAACAGCTATGAAGTGTCTCCCGAAAGGCTCATGTGCAGAAGGCTCAGTCCTCAAAGCAGCAGTGTTCAGACGTGGGGCTTGAAGCAAGTAACTGGACCATAATGGCTCCGGCTTGATCAATGGATTAATCCATTGATGGGTTCTTAATTTCACAGGCTGCTGGGCCCTGACAGAAACTCACGGGGTGGGATCTACTTGAAGGGCATGGTCCTGGGGGCATGCTCTTATGGATGTATCTTGTGCTTGGCTGTTTCCTCTCATGTTCTGCTTCCTGGCTGCCATGAGGTGAGCAGCATTCCTTCACCATGAGCCTCTGCTATGTTTCTGCCTTGCTACAGGCCTAAAAGCAATGGAGCCAGCTGACCATGGAATGAAATGTCTGAAACCGTGAGCCAAAATAAACCTTTCCTTTTTTGTTACTCTTGGGTATTTTATCACAGTCATGGAAAAGTTACTAACACAAGTGGTGTGGGCATTCCTGAGAAATTTCCTGCACCTTCAATTAGTCAAGCTTGATTCTGGTTCATCTCTAGCTCTTGTGAGTTGGATTGGATGATCTAATCTTTAGCATCGCCTCTCATTCCTCTAAGTGGTTTCCTGCTTCTCTCCTTAGTGGCCCTTCCATTTAATCTCAAGTCCTACAGCCACAGCAAGCCTTAAGAATGTAAGGGTAGATCACGCAACTCTTGTGATCAGGTGGCGTTCTACTTTTTCTGAGTGAAAGCCCAAACTCTCCAGTAGCGTCAAGGCAAGGCCTTGTCAGGGCTCATTTCTTTCCTGCGCATGGCTCACTGTCCTTGTTTCTGCTCTCTACCCACGCATGGCTCTCCCTGCTGTCTAACTTGCCAGGCAGTTCAACCTCAGGGCCTTTGTTCAGACTTCTCCATTTGCCTGAAGACATCCATCTTTGGTTTTTTACAAATTTTAATCACATTTTTATGTGTTTAAAATTCTTCCTTGTGGGCTTTGTGGGTCTTCTGCTGCAGTTGACTTATTTGTCAGTGAAAATGCCGTTTTAATGCAGTCTGTGGTCTGCCTTCATGGCTCAGTGTTTCAGGTGCTCATGAAACCAACAAGGTGCCGTCTGCTGGATGGACACACTTCCCTGGTTTGCTCACGATATCATCTAAATTCTCCTACGAAAACTACTGAAAACAATGGATGCAATGGTGGCTTACTAGAATAACGGGTTAGAAGAGGTCCCACACTTCTGACGCCTGTGCTATTTAATATGTGGAAGTAGGGCAGAGTAAGTTAAAGTACTCCCCAACCTTGCATTGACAAGTTCTAGCAAGCAGCTGGGGGTGCCTGAGTCTCACCTTTAAAATAGCACCATCCAGCCACCAGGTTAGAGCCAAGGACAGGGCACTGTGACAACAGGAACAAAACTTTGCCCTAGAATAGTCAGTCTTGAACAAACGCTTCAAAACATCTTCCTGTGCGGTAATATTTCAACTAAAATCTATTTTTACTGTCACCAGCTGGGAAGGCTCCAGGGAGCTGTTGATCAATGCCACCTACAGCTTGTTATCTAACAGGATCTACAAATAACTTGGATGCTGTGTATAAAGAAATGGCTTGGGGCCGGGAATTTAGCTCAATGATGCCATCACCTGCCTCATAAGGGCAAGGTCCTGAGTTCAATCCCCAGTACCAAACAAAAAATTAAAAAAAGAAAGAAATGTCTCAGATCAGTTTCCACACCAACTGTAATTGGCTACTTATAGGTCTATCGGTTTTGGGCCATGGATTTACAGACATTATCTTCCTGTTACAGTCACTGCTATAGAAAACTGCTGTCTGTCCCTTCTAAGTTTCTCTTTGCTGATATATATACAACCCATGCATGTCATTAACATAGCACTGCTTGTTGTGTTTACCTCACCCACTTTTAGAATAGTTGTTATACTGTATATAAAACATGTAACAACAAAGATAAAATACATAGGACTGGAGAATAAACAGCCAAAAGGCCTTATTAAATCTTAAAATTGTGTCCGTTTTTCAGATCTTTATTTCTCAAAATGACCAGAAGCTTTTGACAGGAAGAGTTGCTAAGGAGTAGCAGAAATAAAAGGAGCTTAGGAGGAATGAGAAGAAACACTTGTAACTTTAGTAAAATGTGCACATTCTGGCATTTGCAATTGAATGAGTGTCCCTAAATTCTGAGATTGCAATATTTAAAAAGTGATAAAAAACAACTTGCCAGAACAAAATTTCAAAACATATTTGTTTTAATCCCATAAAAACTCTTACAGATAGATTAATTTAAAATTAAAATATTTTCTCAGAAATACAGTTTTGGTGATAAACAATCATTTGCTAGTTATAAATATGCAACAGGTAGATTCTACACGTATAATTTAAATAAGTCAAGATGAATATTCTTTATCAATATACATTAGACAAATTACTTTCACATTATTTAAAAAAAAATATCAGCAAGGGAAGTTTATAAGTGTGGTGTACCCAGCAGATTCCAGCCCATCCGGCACCCACGAGAGTATCCTATCCGAAGACTCCTCAGGCAATGCAGCATCCAACAGACTGGGCGAGGTCTCCCACTTCTCCAGACGTGAGGCCCTGCAGGTGAGCAGGGGCCGCCCCTAGGCTCCGGGAGCCACACACAGGCACTTGGCCGGGGGTGGCAGGCAGAGGAAGGGAGCGGGTGGGGCAGGCAGAATCGCTGTTAAGTGACCCACTTCCCTCCGGCCCCCCAAAAATGTAAAACATTTTTTTTCAGATTTAAATTTCACCTTCATTAAAACTGCTGTTTAAGATTTTCAGCAAAAAAAGCTTATTTCTTTTTTGGTTTTATGACCAAACATCCTGAAGGTAACGTTTTTCTTCTTTTAAAGTAGCCAAAGTTTTCATTGCTTCCAGTTTGTCAACTCCAAGCTCTCTGCTTATTATTTCCACAAGGCTGTCATTGACATCCTTGGCCATATTCTTTGCATCTCTAAAAAAGAAAATAAGATTATCCTTTACAGAATCTTTAGTGCACAAATCAAGCTCCCTGTGACCTGCCACCTGCCTATCTAGACTCCTAGCTTGCCAGTCTTTGGTTTCTTTTATTTATTTTTTTGGTGCTTCTCTTTTTCTGATATCCGGGATGGAACTCAGGATCTTGGGCTTGTGAGGCAGGCTCAGTGCCACTGAGCTGCATCCCAGCCCTCTTTTGTTTCTTTTATACACATCATTCCCTGCCTTCCCCCACGTGGCGCTGAAGCAGCAGGGCACTTACCCACACACGTAAATGCAGCCGCGCTCCCGGAGGAGGACCTTTGCCACCTGCTGGCTGTGCAGCTGCAGGCTGCCTTGCACATACTTCGCTGAAGCCTTCTCCTCCCCAAAAGGGGCATCTCTTGAAAAGGAGACCTTTAGGTGAGTCAAGATCCCCTGCTCAAGGAAATGCCTGAGCTCTTCTCTGAAATATAACACACCATGATCACACGGAGGTCGCAGGTCAAGGGGAAAAAGCCTGGACGGTAGAGCTGCACACCCAGTGGTAGCAGCAGTACAACAGCAGCCCTGTGTGGTACCTGAATAAGTAGTCCCTCTCCTTATGTCTACAGCCGAAAAACAACCACATGGCCCCAAAACTTCCATCTGGGTGCTGTTCTTGGAGTTTCTCTCTAGAGACAAAGAAGGGTTATATGTTTAACACAGAGAATATGGCACGGCAATGTAAAGCAAACCTCTTTCCTCAAGAAACCACCAGGAAACTGAGGTTTGTGGAATCCGTCTTTATAGACCTTGAAAGTCTACTCATTTAGTTAACACTTGCTATGGTTAGAATCCTTTTTACTTTACGTATGGGGGGGGGGGGGGGGGGACTGGGGATGGACCCCAGGGCCTGGCACGCGCAAAGCAAGCAGCACGCCAGCCTGAGCTGCTGAGGAGCGCGACATCCTCCGATGGCCCAACACTTACACCCTCATACCCAGCGCGCCATTATGGGGGCAGTGCAACCTTCATGGGCGGGGCTGCAGGGAGCGTCTAGGTGGCCAGGAGGTGTCCCCAGGGGCTGGGGGATCCTGGCCCCTTCCTCTTCCTCTTTCACTCCCTGGGCATTAGGTAACAGTTTTGCTTTGCCACAGTCTTCTGCCACCACACGCTGGCTCCTCACAGACCCAAAGCAACAAAGCCAACTGATCATGAGCCCGAGCCTCCAAAGATGTGGGCCGAAATAGCTGAGCTCGGGCATTACATTACAGTCACGGAGAGATGACTGGCACAAGTTTACTACGGCTGCATGGGCGGTCACAGGCATGCCACAGACAATATGTCTCCTCAAGCACATTGAGGAGCTGAAGACTTCCCTGAGTTACATATAAAACATGGAAACCAAGGATAATAAAAATATCACGCTGTGAAACCTGGAGTGATTTCTATGTCAAGTAACACTGGTAACAATTTTATGAGTAAGGTAACGCTTATTCATAAAAGTGGAGAAGTAGCACAGGCTATAAAAGGTAGAAGGCATCAAAGTATTTATGAAATAATAAACACAACACTGTGACAGAGTACATCTACCACTGTGTTTCTGCTTAAGAAAAAAAAGAAAAGAAAGACTCCACTATCTGGGCAACAGATACGAACAGATACTCATTCACTGCTTCACAAACACGGAAAGAAGCATGATTAATATATTTTACATCACGCGGTTCTGTCCTGATACTGTTGTATCTATTATTACCATTCATGTTAATATCATGTTAAAATTACTAGCATCTGGCTTTCACTTTGAACCTTTTGGTATAACTGGATCTCTGTTACTACCAACTTTATCCACTTAAGAAATAAATGGAACAGCTGTACCTTACCACAGCATGAACCTGGGCCATCCCCAACTATATATGCTATAAACTACAGTGCAGCTGAGAAATATGCACAGTGAAATAGAAGCTCCAGTGCAAACCACAGTACCGGGAATGTACTGTGTCTATTTTACCCATGGTGATGTTTGATGGTAATTTTTTCAAATAAAAATCTTACAACCAAAATTCAATTATTCTGAAAACTGAGGAAACAAAAAAAGGCCACTATATTTCCACCTGGGATCACAAGTGGCAATTTCCCCAGGGACCAAACCAAGCACATACCTATGTTGCAGGAAGCCAATGAAGGGTGCTATGCCGGTTCCCGGACCCACCATGACGACAGGGACTGAGGGGTCATCTGGTAAGTGGAAAGAACTGGCTGCTCGAGCAGAGATGGATATCTGGAATAGTAAGCCATCTGTGATAAGTCTGAAAGAAAACCCAGGCACAGCACAGAACCAAGCCGAGAGGTACTGGGAACAGAAAAGTATAAATCCTGGTCAGAGAACCAGCACTAAGTTAAATAGCACTAGACCTTCAGAAACTGAACACATTTGTCATGACAGAGGATGTTTCCTGAAAATGTCTTTTTTTTCTGTCCATATCAAAAGCTTTTTTAAATAACAGGCATGAAATTACTGAGAACAGTGAATAGATCATAAAGTTTTTTCTAGGCCCATGGATGATATTTGCTTTCTAGTAGGCAACAAATCACAGACAGAATGAAGACATGCGCCAAAGAGACAGTTCTTCAGGTCTGTACACAGAGAGCCAATGCAGAGGAACTCCAAGGTGGGGCTGGAAGTTTGAAATGAAAATAAGGGGACCAAAAGTCTAGAGGGCTGCGCTATCCTTACTCTTCTGGGTGCAGATTTATCCAGAATTATTTGCTTGTGTACAACTAGATGCGGAAGTGATATGGTTAAGATCTTTTTCTTAAAATTTCCAGATTTTTCCTTCAAATCATGTGCCAAGGGTACTCACAGAAGAATTAATCTGTCTCACTTCCAGTTTCCCTCCATCCTACGCGTAAGTCACACTGCAGCTCACTAAGGGTCCATCCTCTCTGCAGTGCTAGAGCTGTATAGCACTCAGTGTTAACTTTTAAGTCAAGTGAAATTTGAGATGTTCATGAAGAGCCTCAACATTAAACCTTCTGTGTCTAATTATTGCTCCTCTTTGGTGAAATGGGGATTAATGCTACACTGGCCTGATTCACATGATTCACTCATTTAACAGTTTCACTGAGAGGACTCGGTATGGCCAACAGAGGATGGAAATGACCCCATCTTCAGGAAGCTTACATTCTAGTGGGAGGAAATGTAATCAACAACTATGCCCCCAGGACGACAGGCAACCATGAGTCCCACGGGGCAAAATTAAACAGGCAAGGAAACACTGGGTAAGCAGAGAGCTGCCGATCCAAACATCAGTGTCAGAAAAGGTCCAGACCCTGGGGGAGACCTGTGACTGAGACTTGACCATCGAGTGGGGGCCAGCCATGGTGGGGCCTCCTCCTGTCAGAGAACTAGCGCCAAAGCCCAGAGAAGAGCGGACACTTCCTGTGCCCCAGAGACAGCAAGGATGCTGCAGGAGACCCCAGCTGGCTGACAACCGGAAACTCCCATTCCTGGCTCTGTACATGGCCACTCCTCTGCTCCATGGTCTCCTGCATGGGCCGCACCCAGAAAGTGCATCCCGGACCGGGGTCCCACCGACCCCCACGGCAGACAAGGCCCAGAGAAGCAAGCTCCACTGCCCCCGGGCTGTCTGCTCATGGTGGGGTGGGAGAGGGTCTCCTTGTCCCTGGGACACAACATGGAGCACAGCTGGCGCTACGAGGCTGATGACATGCAGATGGCCGGAAATCCTATCCTTTACCTCTAGTGCCTACTCTCTGGGTAGTCTGTGGAAATCCATTACACTGGAAAGGGAAAGAGGAGGAAGAAAAACAGTATGCGACCCGTGCACTGAGTCTGTCCTACACTGGATTTTTTAACTTTCTGGAGATCACTGCTGTTTTGGTGTGACCATGAAATGATCCATTCGGATGTCAGCACTGTAACATTCTTTTTCTTGATAGTTTCAGCTTCCTAATGTTTTGCACCTGTACAACGAATCGGCCGTGTGTAATGAGCACAGCGAAGCACCTCTCCGCTGGTTCCAGATTGGGGATGACCAGGTAGAGGGCAGCTGCAGGTAGCGTCTTCCATTTATGCATCGAGAGACACAACAAAGGGCTCTGAACTTACTTCTTTACAAACCCCAATAACTTGGAGAAATCCCACTTGTCCTGACACTACTGTTGATACATGAGTTCCTTCATGACCATGAAGAGAAAGCCTGACACTGTTGCTATTTTTACTCAACCATCCTCTGGGAAAGGACGGCCAACTTAGAACTCTTTTCTGCAAGTGGTCCCCAGTGGGGCTCTGCTGACTGCCGGGCAAAACATAAAAGATGGCCCTCGGTTCAGGTGTAAATGCGTCCATCCCTGGTCCAGAAAATCAGAGAACGTTTTCCCTTTAAAGGAGATTTCCCGCCATTTTTCGCTATTAATAACACCAAGTCAAATCCCACACACGGGGACTATGACAAAAGGGGAGAAATACTGATGGGAAATCCAAATACCCCACACAGGAAGACAAACTACACGCTGGCAGACTGCAAGGTACAACCTCTGCGTGCGACAGCAGCCCCATCACCCTCTTCAGGACTTCTGCAGTTTCCTCTGCCCCGCTCTGGACCAATCAATCTAGGAGAACACGTGCAAGAAGGCTTCCTTTTCTAGGAACAGGACAAAGAGGAAAAAGGCAGACTGCAGAAGTTAATGCTCCATGCCTTCAAGGAGCCCACGGGCGAGTTAGGAGGGTGTGAGAGCAACGCTGCTTCTCTGATCTTCCTGCAGATCTCAGAGGCCAAGCACGGCGTACGTTTTCTTCAGGATGAAGCGACTGTGGCTGTGACGGACAATGCAGGAGACCACACCGCTTTTCCCGTCCACAAAGCTGAACGGCTACTGGCTACTCCCTTAGTACCTTAGGAGCCGGGGCTTTTCCGCCGTCCGCATGCGATGCCTGTGAGTCTGGCTTAAGAAATGGGGCGACCAAGGCGGCCAGCCAGCCCGTGCAGAGGCCCTTCCGCAGAATCACCACCTCCGGGGTGTGTGACAAGAACTCCACGACATTAAAGACAAAATGAAGCTTGTCTGGGTGACGCAAACTCGAGCTGCGAAGACACACAGGGGCACCTTGAGTTCCGCACTGGGACCAGCACACAGGGGCGAAACGAGCCTTTCTCTATTGTGAGTTGGCTCCTAACGGGCTCCAGCCTACCTTCCAGCTCCTCAGAGAGAAGCAATCTGACTACTGAGCCTCCTGCTCCCCCGCCCTTCTGTGAGGTCATTCAGGAAAATGTCCAGTTTTATTTGCTTCAATACTAGGTAAGATTAATAAAAACGGAGGTGCTCTAAGGGTCTCCCTGTAAAAGACAATCTTTACAAAGACTTTTCATCCCGTGAAAAGACAGAAAGAAATCCTGTGAAACCTCTCATACAATAGTTATTAAGTTGAAATTTGCAAGTAAATGAAGTATATATAGCCAGCAAACTAAATTCACCAAGAGAAGACGTCTCTAAAAGACATTTCTACCTATTTCTTCTCACATGCTCACCGAGGGTAAAGAGCTCCGGAAGGCTCGCTCAGCCCTCGAGCGCACCTCCAGGACCCGTCAATGTGGAAGGCAGGAGCCAGTGAGACTGAGACGGGAAAAGAGGAGGCCACCCCTGCAGGAAGCAGAGCTCCCAGGTCTACCGGCGTGGGGCTTCTCTCTGTTCCCTGCCCTTCCCCACCACTCAGGCAGGTGGACAACCTCAGCTGGCTGCCCTGACTGGGGGACCAGTCTGGAAAAGGGGAGCCACCCGAGACCCCGACTCTGTGCCATGCTGAGGATGGGGTCCTCACAGCTCCCGTCTTCATACTGGATCGTGCCTGGGACCTTCCACAGGCTGCAGACCTTCCCACTGATAATTAGTGGTTAGGAAGGATTTGGAAGTTGGACCTTCTTACGATTTGGGAGGAAGAGATGCTTTCTGTTGCGTTAGTAAACAGCAGTACCTTGCACAAGAATATGGCCTGGGCTGGAGTTTAGGAAGATGTTCTAGAAAAAAATAAAAACAAGCAAGTATTAATTTACTACTGCTGAAAACAACCTTATATACAAAGGTAAAAACTTCAAGGCCTAAATTTGATCTTATTTTCTCTTACTTAGTATATCTAAATTAATTTATCTTCTGGTTTTAAATCCTGCTTTTTCATTCTACATATATATTCCTTGGGTCAAAATAAAATATTTCTCATTTTTTCCTCCATCTCCTAAAGTCAAAAGCCAGACATGCACTGCCTTACTCCGACATCAGTATTCCACCCAAATGCTGAGTCTCATGAACCAAAACCTAAGAGCAGGACTCGTGGATGGGCTTGAGTTAGGGAACTCATCAGACTTCCACATGGGCATGCAGTTTTCTGTGAAGAGATCTCCAGAGTTTTTAAGTAAAGTAACAACCTTAAAAAGATTAAAGACCACTATTTTAAAGATTATTGGAAACACACAGGGGCATAAAATATTTTCCTTCTTATATTTATATAATAAGTTAAAAACCATGTGTCTGGTGACAGTGATTCCTAAACTGCATTATCCACAAACCTAGCGGTTTCCTAAACATACAGAAACAAAAGAAGCGCACACAGAAATTGGTTCTTGTAGTAACAATTTATCTCACTGATATCTGAATCACCCGTTAACAGACTTTGGAATTTTCACGTGTAGGACATTTCCAAGAGCTATTTAAGTGAAATTTCAAAACCATCTAAAGTAGCTTAGAGTTTTCATATGTACTTGAATAACGTTTAGTAAGGGATCATCTTAATAAATTTTTATAGGTCCCAGTGTCTTTTTCTTTTGGTACTAGGGATCGAACTCGGGTCCTTGTGCTTGCACAGTAGGCGGCGAAACCACTGAGCTAAATCAGTGTCTTTTTTATATAATTGTGTAATAAACGGTATTTTTATAAATGCTTAAAAAGCTAACAGGAATCTACAAAAAGCCCTGAAACATCTGCACACATTCAGGGGCTTCCCAAGACTCGCTGTGGCTTCCCCAGCTGTGTTCCGACTGTGGCCCCAGCCCCAACCCAGCACCCTGAAGACTGAACCGAGAGCCTCGGGGTGCCAGCCCGAGGGCAGGACCAAGGCAGGAGAAGAGCTGCACCCAGCACCGCTTTGTTTCCATTTTGGGGAGCAGGAAGAGAAAAGAACACTAAGAAATAATGAGGGGAAATAAGGACCTGACTCGGAGAGGACCGTGTCCTGTACTGCAAGGGCACGGAGCACTGAGCCAGCGAGAGACTTCAGTGTCACCAGAGGCACCGAGCATCACAGCCCTGAGCTTACTCTACAGGCAAACAGGACGTGTGGAAACCGCACGCCTGGGCGAATAAAAGACTGAGCGCCGACCACACAGCAAGACGCGAGCCTCTCTGCTGTCGGGACATGAGGATCGAGAGCCGCTGTGGACACGACACTGGAGGACCCTCCACTGGCAGCATCTTAGGGCAGGTTTCTGCCTCCAAGCGCCCTATGCTCGTCAACTTGTACCACTGTGACACAGGCGGTCCCTTCCGCTCCTGAAGGGTCCCAAATGTGGACGTGCCTGGATGGAGGTATTCCTGCCTGCTCTGGTAACTTCGGTCAGTGAGATCAGATACTATCTTTCACAAATATCATTTTTCTTAGAAAACTCATGTACTTAGAAAAAACTTAGCAAACGGACCTCTGGAGAAAAATCAAAATGCTTGAAAGGGTTTCTTTGGCTTCCAGAGGACAAATGGATGTCACTACACCTAGGAGATGTAATTCAAGACGTTCCTAAGGGGTCCCCAGTCCCTAGAACGTGTGGCTCCAGGAATCAGAGCAGTAGGAGCAGCAGCTGTCCACCCTTGGATGTTCACCTGCTGGGAACGCGGAAAGGAGGTGACGCTGAAATGAGGACTCACCGAGCAGGACGGCAAGTGGCGGCTGACAGGATGGGAAGGCCAGGAGCAGGTCCAATAGGCAGATGCAGGCGTCCCGGACGAACCGGTTGTAATCTGCTGCTCCCTGCTTACTGCATAGCTCCTGCAGCCGCCGTTTTTCAGGACCATTGCTGGTGTGGTCCACAAGAGCTCGCACAAATGCCTGGAAAGGAAGCTGCCTTCAGTGACCTGCGATGACAACCCTGCTGTGGTCAGCGCTGCTGGGGGGGGGGGGGCGTGCAGCTCAGTGGCAGAGCACTAGCCTGGTGTCCAGTCCCCACCAGTGAAAGCAAAAATCCAAACACAGAGAGGAGAGAACACTTGTTCAGAATCTGCCTGGGGACAGTGCCCAGTTACCCAAAGGAGCAGGGAGAGGGCCACTGTGAGTGCGGTCGGGAAAGCCGAAGGCGACTTTCTATCTGCATTAGTGTTGGCCTGCTACAAAAATTCTATTTTTAGTTCTATCTTCAATCACTTTTCCTCTAATCCAAGCAACCCCATCTGTCACAAGTATGACCTCAAATGGCACAAGAGGTGTATGACTTCATGATCACAAACATTTCGCCTTAGCGGATGATTACAACTCACCCCCGACCTTCATTTGGAAATCATGCAGTGCTTTGTATAAGTGAGACACTGGGCGCATGAGGCGCTGGGGACCAGATGGCCCCCATTCTTGTCCATAAAGCTGCACAGGCTGGTGGCAGCAACAGAAGTAAACGAATAATCAGTGTGCATCAGGGCACATGCAGGACAAAGGGGCTTCCCACTGAGCCCAGGCTGTCCAGGAAGCAGGCTCGGCTGGATGCTGGCCACACAGAAGTAGGAAGGTAGTCGTCTACACAGGTGGTACAGGTGCAGCATTGGCATGAAGGAAGGGGAGGCAGGCAGGAGAGAAAGTGAACCCAGAGACAGGGAGGCAGAGACAGAGGCGGAAGGGATGGGTGGCACCCAGAACGTGAAGGGCCCACCTGTATGTGGGTTCTCAGTCATCTCAGACTCAGTGTGGAAAGAGGGCAACAGAAACAAAGAGAGGATATGAACCAGATCCTAAGTCCCCAGTCTCGAAATCAGAACAAGTCCCAACTCCAGGACAAAACTTCAAACTTGCTAATCACTTTGTTTTCCATGCAACTACCAGCCTAGGAAGCTCTACTTAAGACACCTGGAGACTGACAAACTGTATGCATTTCTCCAAGTGCCAGACTCAGGGCTGAACAGAAACAAGTACTAAGGAACGCTATTAAATAAATCGGTGCCCAAAGCACTGCAAGGTAACAGAGAGTTTATCAATAACCATTTGTAAATTCTAAAGTCTATGTCTCTTCAATTACAGGCTCAAACAATGGCAATTATAAATCCTTTAAAATAATTTTTACTTTGGAAATACAGAAACTTTATGGTCCTAAAACAGTTTTTAGAGAACAAGCTGACAGACAACACAAACATTACTACAATTTAAACTGTAAATATTTTTTAAGAGCAATTCTAGTCCAAGGAATTTACCAAACTGTGTGTGTAAACAACTTCAAGCAGTGTGTGAAGATTAATATAAGAATGTTCATCTAGACATTGTTTTCCACAGTGTAACAACTCCATTGTTCATGAGTAAATGAATAAATTACGGCGCATCCATTAAAATATCTTTAATCTTTCCATACTGAAATATACAGAGTTTGATTTTATTTTAAGTAAATAAGACAAGTTGTAGAATAGGATTCATCATATAAACTCTGAGGGTTTGAGCATCAAAAACTTTTACTTCCTGGGTTACTTATTTTTTGTATCTATAATTTCTACAATGAGCACAATATTTTTGTAGTAGGAAGGGAAATACATATGCTTTAAAAGAGACACTTAACTCAAAACCGTGAATGTACTGAATTTCATAAAAAAAAAAAAAAAGCTCATCACAATGAATTAATTCTAAATGTACTCGAATTATATCTAGGACTCAAGTGTTCCAAAAACTAGACATACAAACAAACGTACAACAAACAAACATTACATCAGGGAGAGAGCAGCCTGATTACACCCTCTCCACACTCACTGACAATCCCCATTTGGCAAAGCACAGCCTGGGAAATGAACCCACGAGTGTCCACTTGTGGGAGATTGTTAAATCAGTTTCAAGAAAATATTCTTCCTGATGTAATACTGACCTCTAGTGGACTGCCATATCTCTGAACTCATCTAAATAAACATCAATATAATCTACCAAAACCTTAATTTTCCCTAAGGAATTCTGACTCATCAGTAAGGAATTACACAGTGCTGCACACAAGTGGTCTAGTAACTCAGGAAGTGGCCGAGCCTGTGTGCGCATGGGGAAGGACCCCAGTCCTGTAACCTTCCTGTCACCACTGACATAACAACTGCAATGTGTGCCTGGACAGCACAGGACTCACCTCTGGGTAACGTGCTGTGCAAAGTCAATGTCTGGGGGAAAAGCTTAAGGAAAGGGTCGATTCTATAAATCTCATTTTAGCGGAAAACAAAAATTCCAATATGAACACAAGATAGAAATATGTGATTGCAACTGTAAAGATACCACACATCCTTGGGAACTGATTTTTTTTGGTACCGGGGATCGAACTCGGGACCTTGTGCTTGCGAGGCGGGCGGCAGCACCACTGGGCTAAATCCTGGCCCAGGAACTGATTTTTAAAATGTGCTATAAAGATTTTACTCTCTAAGGCTTCACAGGCAGACACTAGGTCTGTTCTAAAAGAAATCCTAGACAGAGATAAGATAAGCTTGCTGTAAGACAGCTACTCACAGAAGACAGGAAAATACCTTTTTCGGAACTGCTCGTATGTCAAGACACCAGGTGAACATGAACCGGAGAGAACACTTCTCAGGTATGTGCTGGGGAAGGGCAGCTCCTTTCCAGACAAACAGGAAAGAGGTTCAGGACACAAACAGCGAAGAGCTCACACAAAACATATCTGGGGGGACACGTTCTGCATTCTGCATTCGCCAAGACACAATCAACACTTCATGTTATAATGCTTATTAAAGTATAATGCCTGGTGGCAATATTTAATCAGCCAAAAAATTCTCCCAATATGAATACAGCAGAAAAAGCCCACGTGACTAAGAGATGAAAGAATCATAAATTCAAGATATGCCAAATAAGAGAACAAAAAATTATCTAAAAAAAATAGCAATGCTTTGTTAGAATATGCACTATTCTCAAAAAGTATTTCATGACAGAACGCAAGTACAAGACTGTAAGAAAAATGAATATATGTTTGAATACTTTAAAAATAAATAATTGATTTTAATTATGGGGAAAGCAATTATTTTTACATAATAAAAGCAATAACAGGTGGCAAGAAGAAAATCATTTTCTTTTTTTTTTTTTTGTGGTACCAGGGATCGAACTCAGGACCTTGCACTTATGCGGCAGGCGCGGTGCCACTGAGCTACATCCCCGGCCCCCAAGAAAATTATTTTCTATAATGGTCCTCAGCCACGGGATCTCAAAGGCTGTGCTCTCCATTCACACCCATAGGTATCTAACAGCACAGAATCCACCCGTACCTTACTCAGCACTATCACCTGGCAATGTCGGAGGCACCTCCAACCCCAGGCATGACTGAGCCAGGCAGCCACACACAGCCAGCTTGCCTGCGGGCGGCCACTTGAAATCCAGGCCCGGGACGGAGCCCTGCCAAGTCCAGCACCCGCGTACCTCTCTTCCTGGTGTCGGCCTTGACCTGCAGGAGAACGCGCTGGTCCCGCTCATCAGCGAGCTGCAGCCTGTGGAGCAGATCCTGCACCTCAGAGTCACTGTTCGGACAGAGCACATTGAAGGCATCTCCAGGCTGGTAGGAGAAATCTGTTTTCTAGAGCAGAATCGAAATGAAAGAATTTTGTGTGTTTAAGTTTTAAGAAGAAAAATATAGTTTTCATCATATGACCATTTTAACACAAGAACTGAAAAAAAGAATTATATAAAAAGAATTAAGACATATGTTTTATGTGCATGTACCAAGTGGCCACAATGAATGCAACCGTTAGGTACCACAAGCAGGTACTAATACGAGCAACAGAAATAAAATTAAAAGGAATTCTAACTGTAAAAAAATAAACTAATGAGTCAGCCCAGTTAATAAAGTTTACAGTAGATCCTCGAGTTACGACAGGCCTGACATATGAACAATATGGGATATGACAGGATTTTAGTTTTAACTTATGACCAGAGTCTTGAGTTATGACCCAAATGTCGGCCACTTGTGCTTCCAGATGGTCTCATACGGATCTAACCCTTAAGAGTTCTAGAAGGAATGTGGTAGCTCCTCTCCTGTATGGGGTTAACTGAGAAATCCTGGGCCAGGGTCTCTCTGAGGACAGAGATCTGCCTGTGTACAGGAGAGAGGCTTTGAGGGCTGTGTAGAGGAGCCTGAGCCTTCAGTTGACAACCTGAGTAACAACCAGCCTCGAGAATGAATTGAGTTCCTAAGTCAAGGGTCCACCATAGAAGTAGTTGCTCTAAAAAGAAACTTGGTTATCATTTAGTGCACTGTGCTGCCTTCCATTCTGCACTTACTGAATGCAAATGAGACATTCCTCACTTCTACAGAGTAAGGTTTGGTAGCATTTTAAGTGATCTATGTAAAAATTCTTATAAAACACACACACACACACACACACACACACAGGTACACATATGCTATGACCTAAACAAGCTACCGAAGGCCATCTGCATTAGTTTTCAATTTCCTTTTCCTTGTTTTGTTTTTCCCTTTAGGTAGGAAGAGAGGAAGGAAAGGAAGATTGCTCACATTCCTCTCCTAGGAGGGAAACAGACTCCAACCATTAACTGGCCAGCTGTGAGGTGAAGGGAAAAGGAAGGGTCAAGAATAAAATGCCACACATCCCATAGAAGACCTCTGGCTCTCCCGAGATATGAAACCAAGCACCACACCGGCTCCCTGGGCACCCTGACATCGGAACGGCACTGAGAAATACATCTGGCAACTTACGGAAATGTCCAGTTCTAGCAGCAGAGTGGTTTTTATGGCATCACTGGTAGTAAGTTGAACAGCCTTTGAGACTGGAACTTGAAAGACTGGCTCCACTGAAGGCACAGATGCTTGACTTTCTTCCTCCTCGAGAAACAAATGGGATAAAATGCAATTGCAATCATACCACTCCTTCGCTCAGTGACCATGCAAGATCTTACACACGATCACATCAGAACTTCTTGTTTTCATGGCACCTGCCCATCACATCAGGCCACGCACTGAGACACTTTGGGCCCTAAAAAGTCCCCCCAAAGCCCACATCCCAAGTGCAGCAGTGGAGAGAGGAGGGGCCTTCAGGAGGGGACTGGATCACAAGGGCTTCGACCTCATGAGTGGGTGATTCACTGATTCATCGCCTGAGGTGCAGCTGCAAGGGGTGGACGGTGGAATGTGTAGGCAGTGGGGCATGTGGGGTGGCGGTACGGGAGGCCTCTGAGGAGGGTATTTTGTTCCTGGCCCCACCCTCACTCTCTCTGTTCCTGGCTGCTATGAGGCGAGCCACTCTGCCCAGCCACACACTGAGGAGCCACAGAGCCACGTGCCATGGACTGAAACCTCGGAAACTGTGAGCCAATGTAAATCATTCTTCCTGGAAGCACATTTTCTCAGGTATTTTGTCTCAGTGACAGAAGGCAGACTACACAGGTACGTAATTCTCCAATTGTGGAAGCACACCAACACTCCAAAACTTTTAAATTTCAGAGCGCTTCTGATTTTCAGATTACGGATGTCCCATCCATAACACAAGCTGCTCTATTAACACCTGGATGAACTGAAAGCGCCAGGGAGGAAATGCTTTTGGCTTTACAGGACTCCGCATTAATCACTCAGCTTCGCAACTGAGCTCAAAAGTACACACAGATACTATGCAGGAAAACAGGCATGGCTGTGTCAATCTCATTATTTATAACTGAGTTACAATGGGTCACATCTGGCTAGGGACTCACCATTTGCTGACCTCTGTTCAAATGCAACAAAAACAAAAAAGCAAAGCAAATAGCCATGGTTAAATAACATTATGCAGCGTACAATGAAACAGCTCACCTGGCCAAGGGGCTCCTGCAGATGCACCTGCAAATATGCTGCGGGCAAAGCAGGAATACTCAGAGAGGCTTTCGAGAGTGGGGGTACCGAGCAGATCAGCGAGGGTTCAAAGCCTTCAGTGAAAGCACTTGATTGACCTCTATTCGCTTCATTTTGTTCCAAAACCTCAGAATCCTTTCTTCTTGAATCACCCAACCTCAGAAGTTCCACTTGAGATTCAAGCGGCAATGACTCCGGCTTCACAGCCTCTGTACTCAAGGAGGCATTCGGTGCTCTTGGGAGACCCCCATTCATCTCCCAGTGCTCTTCCCTTGACCTAAAGTGCTTTGCGAGAGCAGCCCAGAGTCCAGCAATCCATGGCTCAACCACAAGTTCCAAACTGGGGTGTGAGAAAAAAGAAACAAATGCCTAAGTCATCCACTTAAACACAAAATGGGATAATGTCAGAGAATATTCATTTAGCAGAATGCTGCATGCAACTGTTAGAAACACCATGAATTTAAGAAGTACGACTGAGGAACCTCCAAATGGATTTTACAGTGGTTGTACAAGTTTATATTCCAGCAACAATCCAGACAGGCTCCTTTTCCCCACAGCATCACCAGCATTTGTTACTATTTGATTTTTTGATGATGGCCACTTTTTCCAGAGTAAGATGGAATCTCAGTGTTGTTTGAATTTGCATTTCTCTAATGGCCGGTAATGCTGAACATTTTTTCATGTATTTATTGGCTATTTGTACTGCTGCTTCTTGTAAGTGTCTATTCATTTCGGTGGGTCATTTTTTGATTGGGTCTTTTATTTTGGGGGTCTAATTTCTGTTTAGTTCTTTAAAGAAGGGAAAAGGGATGAAAAAAAAATTGAGATGTGTTCTGTACATGTACCAACTTCCCACGAGGATGTAATTATTATGTACTGCAAGCACACACTAAAAAATAGAAACTGAAAGGGATGAATGATGAAGCTCCAAAGAACAGAAGATTATCAAGTGCTCATCAGCACCGTACCTCTAAATATGAGCGTGTATAAGGTCAAAGAAACAAAGTGAGATACGAAGATAGTTTAGTAAGAAGACAATAGGAATGCAATTCCTATCCCACTGCAATTCCTCTTAATTCCCTGAAAGAGTTGATAATCTTCATTTAAAAGAAGCTATAATTTTAAAGAGGCATAATAAATCCTGACGCAGCTAACAGAACTTAGCCAAAACCCAAGGCTGCTCTGATGTTGCAAATGATCACTACATCCATCGAATACTCCATGTTTTTTGTTTAACATAGTGATCTTTCTTCAACAGATGAAGATTTCATCAAGAAATCATTCTGGATTAATACCAAATGATTTCCTAAATTTAAAAACTCAAGCTTTTCTATCAGTTCTGAGCAATTGTTTTGGTAAAATTTTAGGGAGGCTGGTTCTGATCTGAGGGAAAGAAAGCAATTATCTTTTGGGAACCGAATTAATCACGATGTGGCAGTCTAGTTATTAATAACAAAGTGTAACTCAACAGAAGCTTTCCCTTCATCCTCCAAACGGAGAAGGTAACCAGACCCACGGGTAAGGAGGACTGTGTCAGCAACCCGAGAACTAGCAGCTCCATCACCTTCCACCCCAAAGGAGCCACCAGTCACAGCCTGACTCACACATGACAGCAAGAGGAGGCCCACTGCAGGCCCCTGACTTACTAGGACACAGGCTGCAACTTCGCAGTGCTCATCGGGTGCTCAAGTGGTACACTGCTCAAACTTTGGTCATACAGTCTCTCTACCCCAAGGGGCCTTCACGAAAGCCGGTGAATAAAATGAAGCGTTCAGTAACAGTTACATTTAAAATATGATTCTCAACACTCTAAAAAGTTAAGTCGACCACATCCCTAACTGTGAAGAGAACTCATGTTCACTGAGCATTCGCCATGTGTCATCATGGTTCTAGAAGACTAACCCGGGTGTCCAGTCTGAACATCCCCACGAGCTCACACAGTGAACACTCGTATTAGCTCCTTCCTGGAGGGAGAAACCAAGGTACAAAAAGTTGAAGTAACCAGGGTTCAGTCAGTAGGTGCAGGATGAAGGATGAGTGTGGAGGTCAATTCAGCAGGAGGTCTTCTGGAAAACATCTTCATTTTGGGAACAGGGAAAAATTCAAATCAAGTAGCTACCTTGAAAATGTAAAAGGTGCAGACTAGTAAAATACATAGTCAAAACTTGTATTTAATATGTGACCCAATAAACGAGCAAGCAAAAACTTGAGAAGAGATGTGAAATACGGATAACCGAGAACCTGCTGGACTAGGGTCAGTATAGTATTAGCGATTATCATGGCTTTTTCATATCAATGAGGCTCTGGCAAAAAACAAGTCAAAGACATAAAACTGAAATAATGGGAGGAACTGTCACAGAGCTTTGTTGCGGTGAGGAAGCACGTGTGCTTTGGAGAGACGGCAAAAATGCACAGCATCACCGCCGCAGAGAATGACCTGGAGAGGATGCCAAGGGTGGGCGAGGGGAGTGGAAATGTGGGAGGAGCCTGTACCTCCCGGGGGGACTGGAGAGGAAGAACAGGGAGACATCTGTGAATGTGCTGATTCCCGATAGAGAGTATTCATTAACTCAGTGAGTGAAAATTCATTTCATACAGGCACCTAGTGGGAAACAAATCGAAGTGTGTATGTTGTTTTCTGGCTACCACAAAAACAAGAGCTAAACAACGGCAGAACAAATGAGAGGACAGCACCTGTGCGTGAGACGGCTCAGTAAACGTGGCAGGATGAGTTTCAGGGTGGCCCCAGGGGAAGTGCTGCTTTGTACCAACAAGAAAAAAAGACATGAAAGGCATGCAGCCCATGGTGACTGAGAGGGTGAGCAGCTGCGGCCTGCAGACATGTCTTCTCCGTCAACAGCCCTGACCCGCCAGCCCCTCTGTGCGAATAGCCAAAGCCCCCAAAGCAGACGCTGCACGGTACCAAAGCTTCCGCACTTTCAGATACCTGCTCCTGGGGCTCTTCAACTAACTAAACCAAGAAGGGTGAGACAGGCAGACAGAGACACCAGGCACACAAAATCTGCGAAAGAGGTAAATCCAGTTCTGGCTCATGTTCTTGGGCCGTAGAGCTCCAAACTTTAAAACTGTAACGCGACTTTCAAGGTGAAAGTGTCGCTGCTGGACGGTGGCCGACACACTTTGCACACTCACCTCTGCCAGGCAGAGCAGGGGCTCTCTGGACAGACAGACAGACAGACATGCATCGCACCTCGCTTACCCTACACAGTCATCGGCGTGGCCAGTGTCGTAGAAATGCCGGGCGCCAAGCTGCTGAAGTCGTTTATCAATTACCTTTCCCCCGTTACAGAAGTACGTGTATTCTGAATCACCCAAACCTAGAGTCCAAATAGGTAACAGGTGCACATTAGGGCTTAAATGTAAGAGATGTAAGGAGCACATAAAAGTGTCTCACAACATTGTTTCACAATCTACTGATGCAGGAAGAAATAATGTGTCACTTCACACTTCCTTATTTTCCTTGAGTAATACTAAATATGCAAACAACTTTCTTCTATTTTACAACCTTACAGTACCAGATACACTGAAGGAAAACACAGACCACTGTTCAAAGAAATACATATGTTCCACGTTTGTGTTCCCACGAAACTGGTAAAACTACAGAAATCTTAAAACAGGGATTAGACAGATTCCAGAACTACAACATCAGCCAAGTGGTGGCACACACCTGTGAGTCCTGCCCTCTGGGAGGCTGAGCCCAAGGGATGTCAAGTTCAACCCCAGGCTGGGTGGGCAATTTAGCAACTTAGTGAGACTCTGTCTCAAAATGAAAAACATAATTAAAAACCAGAAGGGCTGGGATGTACCTCAGTTTGAAAGTCTAAGGATCAATCCCCAGCAATACCAAAACACAAAACAAAACCCACAACATCTCTAATATTTTTCTATCTTTATGAGGAGTCTGGCAACCATAGCCCCTGAACCAGTGTCCACTACTGTTTCTGTAAATAAAGTTTTATTGGAACACAAGGACCTCTGTCAATTTACATGTTCCTTATGTGGCTTTGAAGCTCCAACAGCATTCAGACAGTTGTGATGAGACTACATAGCCCACAAAGCCTGCAGTCCCCAGAATCTGGCCCCTTACAGCACATATGACTCCTGACCTAGAGTCCAGAGAGGCATGTGCCCGAAATAAGCATGTGGTGTGATTGTTTCAGTGTTGAATAAGATTTGCTTCTATGTGTCATGGTAAGAAAACAGACTAACATTTCATACTTAGGTGAAACCTTAACACTGAGTTTTAGATTCCCAGCCCTGTAATTATCCCCATGTTCTTTTTCAACAATGGGGTGAGGGATTGCAGGGTCCGAATGTGGGTCCCATATTGATTAGAATGACTGAATGGTCTTCAGTCTTGTTTTTATAAGTGTTCTGAGGGATTTTCAAAGCAATATATGCTCACTCTTGAAAACACAGAAACCAGAAAAACTTTGGTTTAAAAAAATGTGTAAATACTGTACCATACACTCACAGACATGCTACACATGCCAGATCCCAGTTATAAACTGAAGTTTCTAATCAGTGACCACAGCACAACCCATCCATGCTAGATGCTATGCCCCAAAAATAATCCTCAAGGGTGAACAATACGGATGACAAGCTAAGAACACGGGCCCTCAACTCCCTCTCCAGAGTCACCTTTTGCTGTGCTAGTACTTCTGATCCATTACCTTAATCTGTTTAAACTATGCTCCAGAGCCCAGCATGTGCTTAACCTGGGACGCATGGTATTACAACCACCAAGGAGCTTTTAGAATTACTGGTGCCTCGGCCCTGCCTCGGAATGCTGGAATCCCTGGCAGTGGCCCAAGTACAGGAATCATGAAGAACTCCTGCAGCTGATCCTAACATGCAGCTGGCCGTGGGAAGCCACTGTCTTAGAGGCATGGTTCTTGGACAGGGAAGATACCACAATGACCTGGGAGTTTTTTTTGGCTTGGAGTTAGGAAACACTTCCCTCATGGATTCTGTTTTCATAGTTTTGGGGTGAAGCCTGCCACCAACAGCCTGAACATGCTTCATGGTTGAGCTGCTGTGCACCTTCGGTTATGAAAGCTACTCACAAGGTTCTGCAGAGGAATTACTGTGCAAACCGAGGAAGCATTCACACAAGACAGCACACTGTTTACATTTATTCATTTGGTTTATACACAGAATTTATGTAAAAAATAAAAAGACCCATACCTTTACATTTCATGGTTTTAAAAGATATATTCAGATCCTGGAGTTAAAGCCAGTAATAATAAACACTAAGAGATAAAATATAGTCCATTACCTAATAATCCATATCGCAGGTGAGCAAAGAAATCACCCGGCAGTGTCTTGTCATGTATTTCTTTAACAAACTTTCGGGCGGTGTCAGGCGGGTCTCCAGTGCCTGTGGTAGAAACAACCACCACCAAAGGAGCTGTTTCCGTTTTTAGATCATACTACAAAACAAAGAAATTGAGTCAGGGACCTAATAACTGTACACACTTGTGATTGAACACATCAGCAAGCAAAGCAATCAGTTTGTTTTCCTTGTCTTGTATTTCCTTCCAACTTTCTTCTTTTTTGCATTACTAGAGATGCATGGAAGAATGACCAGTCCAGGACCAGGTGCCCCCTGTTCAACCAGGTTGTCCAAAGTCTATTACAGCTCAGGGCAAAGCAGGCATTTGTTTTGCTGACGCGCATCAAGGGGTTAGGAAAGTCGAATGCGTCCTGTGTCTTTCTCTCCATGAAGTTCACCAGAGCTGGAACCCAGCACTCCAGGGTCCCTGCTCGCCTGACCCCTCATGGCAGGACAGTAAGAGAAGGGATGCGTATAACTGGCTCTGCCACTGGGCCCTAGGCCAGACGTTCAATGTGAGCTCTGATCTGAAAGGCAAACAGGCCCAGCCATGAGCAAAGATGGCTCAGGAAGAACCACACTGAGCTCTCAAGGAGAAAAGGCAGCTAGTGGGGTGGGAATGTCAGAAAGTAAGAAAGTCAAAAAGGCAAGCACAAAGATCTTAAAAGTAGGGAAGGGTAAAATTCAGAAATAAAGAAAGCAGACATATAAGTATCCGGGATTAAAATGGCAGGACAACGAAGGAGCACCAAATAGAATATTCTTCTTCAATTCATTTCTATTTCAACATAGTTGAAAACAGAGCAGCTGTGAAATCTTCAGCAAAACGGTCAGGTGTATGTGCATATATAACGCAAAGGCAAAGGCACGTGGGCATTTTAAAGATGGAGACTGAGCGTTAGTCCTCAGCTCTTAGGGGCCTGACTACAGAGAACAATCCTCATTCCTTAGGGCTCCAGGCAGCTGAGGATATGGTCAGCTGCAGTCAGACCCTCAGTATTCCCAGGCTTATAAACCAAGTCTTCTAATTCTTTAGTAAATTTACTCAAAATAGGGCACTTCACCATTTCTTCTTAGGACTTCATTAATTGTACTGCTCATGAAAGTAACCTAATTTGGGTCCAAAGAATTCCCCTCATTTTACTTTACTTTCTGTGGTCCTGAGGACTGCACCCAGGGCCATGCACATGCTAAGCGTATGCTCTTTCACTGCCCACACCTGCATAGCGATACGGTAAGAACTTGAGCGAACATTTAACACGTTCTTACATACTAGACGCTACATGGTTTACAGGTTAAACTGTACAGAGTTGGGTAAGTAACCTTGGCAAGGACTGTTGCAATCTAGGAAGTTCAGCTGCCTTTTCAACTCAGGCGATGAGCAACAGGTGAAACCATTCGGCTAATACCATGGCTAAGGTGGTTAAAAAATAAAAAATTCACCGTTCACTCATGACTAATCAAGAGCTACTCTTACGACACTACTTGCTCATAGTAACGGATTCAGGTTGCAGCCCCTCAAGTAGCACCATAAGGTAATTTGTTTGAAGTCACTGTCCAGTGACCAAGCTGCCAACGCATGGACGGACAGCGTCCACAGGAAGAATGCGTGTGTGACTGTGCCTGGAGTTACACTCGAAGTGCTTCATGAAGGAACCACATGAGCTGGGGTTATAATTCACCTGTGCTGCTGACGGTCTAATCTCTCGAACCCGAGATTTCTGAAGGTCAGAGAGGGCTGAAGACTTAAGTGAAGGGACACTGGCAAGCTAACTTTTGAAGTCCCAAAGTGAGTTTAGACTGCTCGGTGGCTGATACGTCAACTTGTATAACACCCCTTCTATCTGTTAGCACCTACTCGTCTGGAAAAGTACAATCCAGAAGACTCAACTAACTCAAAGAACACAGAGCTGAGCATGGTGGCGCACACCTGTAATTCCAGCGCTCTGGAAGACTGATGCAGGAGGACTGCAAGTTTGCCCTGGGCAACTTAGAGAAACCCTGACTCAAAACAAAAAAATAAAAAGTAAACTGGGGCTGTAGCTCTGCATGAAAGCACTGGGTTTAATCTCAAGTCCTAAAAAAAAGAATACAGGAAACACAAATTGTTACGGTCTCATATAACCTAATGTAGGAGTGTCTGCAGAGAAATACTGAATGTAGAGAAGCAGTCTGAGGCCTTAAGCAGCTGGATCCTCCCCAGATGATTATACCACTGCTTTAACTTGTATCTCACAACATAATCCAGGCGGCTCTTCCATGGAGGAACTCTCACGTGAATGTCTGCTCTCTGGGGAGCTGGTAAGCGACACTGAGGTTCCTGAGATAGAGAGCACACATGTGTGCAAACACCCATGTCATTTGCCCTCACGGCCAGCTCGTGAGCTACCCAAGGCCTATACTACCGCCAGCATTTACAGCTCAGGAGTAGCTGCTTGTTTCAGTTTCTGAGATTGCTTAGCCTAATTCAAATGTATACCTCTATGTTTAAAAACGACGCTGGTGAAATCCCACAATACAGTTGCTCAAATGAATTTCTGACTGTTAAAGAAAGATTATAGTGGTATTTATCACCTTAGCGTGTTGTTCAACACACATTACTTCCCAACCAAAATACTTGGAAGAATAAAGCAGAGTGAGCTCTTACCTTGTCGGACTCGCTGATACAGTGAAGATCTGCAGAAAACCCATGTGCTCCCGCCTGCTCACATATTTCTTCTGCTATGGCCTTTGCCTGCCCTCGCTGTGTGGCATACAGTAACACAAACCTCCTCATCACCTCAAGGGATGTGCTGTCACTACAGAGCTGACACTGAAAGAAATGGGGAAAGAGATTTTCTGTTTAATGAAGTAATAATAGCCTACAGTATTAACTCTACCTCAAGCTTTCAAAAAGCATACAATAATAGACACACATACGGTCAAGTAGCCTCTAAATTTGTTTCTTAGTACTAATTTTAAATGAAATGAAATAGGAAAGAATTCATCAAATTACAGAGAATACAAGCAAGAATCAAATTCTACTTTGATGACTCACAAATGAGACTATGAGAACAAACTACTTTGGGGGCCTGAAATTGTCGTCCAGAACTTTGTATCTCTAAACAAGCTACTCGGCTGTTCCGTACCTCGATTTCTTCGTCCTTAAAATCAGAATCCTAACACCTACCTGATGAAAATGTGATACACGTGCAGCACCTGAGCAAAGCTTACGGCCCAGTATCACTTAAAAGACTAGGACATCTTTTTGTTTCAATCAGACATCTTTTGTTTCCTGTTTAAAAAAGAAGTTGGCCAGGCGAGACGGCACACGCCTGTAATCCCAGCTCTGGGGAGGCAGAGGCAGAAGGACTGCAGCGAGTTGGAGGCCAGCCTGGCTCAAAACAAAAAAAACAAAGAAGTAGAACTTCCGTTAAAATTACAGGATTTCTGGTTCCTATTTCATCATAATTCTTAAAAAGTAGTCACGGTTCTACATTTAATCAAAGTGCACATTCTTCTGAACTTAGGTCAAAACCTTGGGTTCTGGTGACTGAATCAGTAGCTTTATGTACCTCCGACCCATCGAAGGACAAATGAGCCACAAATAAAGAAAAGGCGTGTCAATCGCGAAGTCTTGGGGACGAGAACGCCGGGCTTCACGGCGCTCGCAAAGATAGCGGAGCGAGCGAATCCGAGAGGACGGTGGACACCGCGCGCCTGCGCTCCCCGGTGCTGACGCCGCATCTCCCGGGGCCACGCTGCCCCGAGCCTCAGCCCCGCTCCGGGTCGCCGAGCTCAGCCTGCCTGCGTCCCGCCCTGTCCACCGCGAGCCCAGGTCGCTTCCCCGCGGGGCCTCATGGTCCCGCTTCCCGAGGTGCTCACCTGGGCGGCGCACACCGGGGTCGCTCCGCTGTCCACCAGGCGCGAGGTGCTGGAACACATCGCGCATGCTCGGCACCCTTGGCCAATAGGACGCTCCGGACAGACCCGGGCCAATCACAGAGCGCCGGATGGGACGGTGCATAGGCGTCTCCGGCCCCCGCGCATGCTCGGTCCCCGCCCGCGTACGGTGGCTCGCGAGGCTTGGCGGGTCCCGGGTGCAGTCTGAGCGTCTGAGCGCGGGTCCGGCGCGGCGGGGTAAGTGTCTTCGAGGGCTTTCCGTGCGGCTGACGGTTCCCGGCCTGCAGGCTTTGAGACTGCAGTGTTGATCCACGCAGCCCCTCTCGAGCGGCGCCGGGGCCCCGGGCCCGTTCCTTTCTCGGAGGACGCGGCTCCGGATCCCGGGTGCTGCACCCTCGTGTCCCGATCCCCTGTGGACGTTCAGCCTGGGGCCTGCCGTTGTCTCTCACTGACCTTCCTCGCTTTACTTCTATCCTAGTGCTTTTCCCTGTCTCGTTCCTTCTCAGTCTTTACCGCATTTGACCTGGACGGGAAACCGCCTTCCGGGGGCTTTTTGGGCGCGGGTACTGTGCCTTGCCCCGACCCGTCCGAATTTTGCCCTCTCTCTCCATTTCTTTTTTCCCCTAGAGACTTCCTTTCAATCCAAAGCAGTTCCTTTGGCCAAACTAACACACGAGAAACTCAGTTAAGAGCCAGAGCCTGTGAGTTGAAATCCCTGCTCTTTCTCACAGCTGCGCAGAGCCAAAGTCACTGCCCGGTGGTTTAACCTCTTTCTCAGCTGTAAAATAATGAAAATACTTCATTTGTGTAGCTTAGTACACAGAAGGCACTTGAAACAGTACCTAGCAAGGGATGGGGATTATTGTTATTGCGGGGGGCTTTTCTACACTTGAGAACACACAAAAAATCTTGTTTTTCAGTTATTTCTGTTTTAGTGGGAAATAGTTATTCATTACTATTTTTATGCCTTTGTCCTTAGGTTCATCAGTATTGGAGTTTTAGTCATGTTCTCAGTGTATCTGACTTTTTTTTCTCTCACGCATCAGGAAGAGTTCAGAATCAGATAGCATGGCATTAGTCACCTTGCGGAGGAACTTTTGTCACCTGCCTGATTTTCGGGTATGTGGAGCTCTGGTTGCTCTGAAAAGTCGCCCTGTAAATCGCATGAACAAGGTCGTTAAGGGGCATCAGCATCCTTGGTTCTGTTCAGTGCAGCCTAAGCCTGTCAGGGTGCTGATCCATCCTGCCTGTGGGAAAAAGTTCCATGCAGAAAATGGAACCGACCATGCCCCACTTGGTGAGCAAAGGTTCTCTCAAGCACACGACTGGGACGGGCTTGACCAGAGCCTTCGAATGGAAGGCGAGCAGGTATTTTACAAGAGGCTGGACAGCCTCACCTCGTGGGAAGAAGTGTTAAGTTTCGTAAGCACACTGGAAACTCTGCCCGAGACTTGGGCCGCGGGAGCTTTACAGCGCATTTGTGAGGTGGGAAAAGGAGATGATGATCAAAGACTGCCAAAGGAAATACAGGAGGATAGTGTCTTTCAAGCTTTGTGCTTTCGGTTGGAACAGCAGCCCTTGCGCCTGTCCAGCACTGGTTTGGTGACTGCTTTACAAGCTCTCATTCTGTTGCATGTGGATCCTCAAAGTAGCCTGGTACTGAACCTGGTGGCTGAATGCCAGAATCGTCTCCAAGCCGGTGTCCTGGAAGCCTCTGATCTCTGCATTCTTGGGGAGACTCTGATTAGGCTGCAAGGTCCAGGCTGTGCGACACTAGAACTGATTATACACCAACTGCAAGGTAAAAAACTGGAAACACTTACCCCAGAGGATATTGTGGCCATTTACAGAATACTGCAGACCTGTTCTGAAAAAGTGGACCAACACCAAACTTTTTTGAACGTGGTAAACAACTTCTCTCTTTCAGTCGTTTCCTACCTGAGTCCTAAGTCAATTAGCCAGATGTTGGCTGCCCTCGTGGTTCTTGATCAAACTCAGGCCCATCCTCTGATTATAAAATTGGGTAAATATGTCGTGAGGCACATTCCTCATTTCACCAATGAAGAGCTCAGGAAAGTCTTGGAGGCTTTCATATATTTTGGAGTCCGTGACAGGTTTTTTACAAAAGCCCTAGAGCGGCGTGTAGCTTCACACTGTCTCACCCTGGATCCTGAAGTTATCAGTAAAGTCACAGAGTACTGCAGTGGAAAACTGATTCTTTCAAAACGCATTCTGAATGCAGTGGCAGAAACTTTTGTCTGCCAGTCAGAAAAATTTTCACCTAGTCAGATTTCTGAATTAATTGAACCATTTGGCAAGCTCAATTATTTGCCACCAAACGCCCCTGCCTTCTTTAGGAAGCTAGAAAATGTGCTGTTCACTGGTTTCAATCATTTTCCACCCAAAACGCTCCTGCGAGTTCTCCATGCCTGTTCCCTTATTGAGTACCATCCAGTCAACTTTATGCCAAAAATATTCAGCCCTTTTTTTCTTCAGCAGCTGCAAGGTAAGTTGGCTATTATTTCTGACATTTGGGCAAAGTTAACATTGTAACTTCTGGTGTTTTCAGCTCACATAGGTATCTTTTACCTTGAGCAAATGCTCTGCCTTTGTCTTTTCTTCCATAATAATATGAAGGAGAGACCTGAAGTTACAGATGCTGGCATAAACAGAGCTAAAAAATGCTAGAATCGTGTACAGTGGGAGGAAAGCAGTGTCAGATAAACTGACTGCTGCCATCTGGGACCCACAGCATTCCTGTGGGATGTGGGGTGTCGATGGCAAGAGCCACTGTCACCTTTGATGAGTGAGCACTGTAACCTCTTTACAAAAGATGATATTGTTTATCTTTATTCGGCCCACACAGGCTGTCACATTTCTGGCTCTCCATAGTTAATATTTCCAGTAATTCTGCAAACGTGGCACTTTTCATTATTCGCTGGCTAGGAGCTGTGAGTTCTTGAAAGTTTCACTGTTTACAAGAAGAGGGCGTGATTAATTCTAACAAGCTCACTTCCCGGTGTCATTTTGAAATTCCTTCTGGAGTGAGTAAATTGATGTACATTCACGGCGTTTCTTCTCTCCTTAAATATTCCACACTTAAAACTGAATGACACGCAGCTTCTTATTGTAGGTGAAGAGTCATACTTGGACAGATTGAGTCTGGCACAGCTGACCCAGCTTTTCCTCACCTCTGTGCTAGAGTGCCCTTTCTATAAGGTAAAAGCATGACGATGCAGCCTGGCTTCGTTTCCCTATGGAGCCACTTTGCTTCTGTCCTCTCGGAAGTTGTTAGTTTCCTTCATGTTTGGTCTATCTCAGTACTCTCCTTAGTAAGTGGGGCGTGTGTTTATTTGAAGTTAGTTACCACCACAAAGCCTGTTCTCTGATAAATTGGCCTCATTTCTGTGATCTTTTCCCAAAAGGTCCAACTTCTACTGCATAGGACCCTTAGGTTTCAAGTGCCACAGGCCTGTGAGTTACAGCAGGACACCTGGGTTCTCTTGGCTTTCACGGGGCTTGGTACTTACCCTAGCTGTTGTTATCACAGTATAAACCTGTGAACGGAACAGATCCTCAATTATTTCTGAGTACATTTTTAAGCTGAGCCAGGAATTTCACTGTCATCTGGTAGGGTTTGGTTCAGGGGAATCTGCTCTTCCCATGTAGCACTGTAATGACCTTCCACCTTCCCTCGGTAGGATCAGAAATGGCCTCCACAGGGTTTGCCGTACCTGCCCAACCCTCCATGCTCTAAGCAGAGTTGAGAGTATCTGATTTTTGGAGAAAGGTGTAAGAATGGGAAGACATTAGTTTCTTTAAAATAGCTAAGCCAGCACTAATGTGCTTACCTCCTTCCAGCCCTGAGCAATGGCAGGAGCAGTTCCTATGGGCAGATAGATATATGAACATACATACAAATATTGTCCAGTTTTTCACTTTTAATGGGATGGGACTGACCAAACAAAGTAGTTTGTTTTTCTACTCAGTATATCATGAGCATTCCGGGAGTCCCATGCGTACAGATCAAATTTCCTCTCTCAAGAGAGGCATAACCATCCATGATATTTATTCTGCCATTCCACTGTTATAAAGTACTTTCGGTTCCTTCCAACTTTTGTCCCTGTCAACAGTGCTGTAGTAAGTAAACATCCTTGCATATCTTACCATCCTGGAGCCTTTTGTTTCTTAAATCTGTAAACTAGATTCCTTAAAGTGGGATTGCTGGCTTCGTTTTGGATAGATGCTGACAGATTCCCTGCTGGCCGTTGTAGGTGTTATTTCTGCAGCAATGAGTGAAGGTGACCCCGTCTTCCCCGCTTCTGCAGCAGTGTTAGTCCCTCATCCACTCAGTGGGAAGGGCTGTAGCATGTCACACATTTAGATTGCGATTTGAAGTTGAGCTTATTTTCAAATGCTCACTGGCCTTATACATTTTCCATCAATTGTCTTTTTACATTTAACTCATGGGATTATTTGTCTTTTTGTAAGGACACATTATAAAACAGATGTTAACTTTTATGTATGTTGCATACATTTTGGCCTGGTCTGTAATTTTTTATTTATTTTTTTTAAACTTTTGTTTATGACGTACAAAAGTTTTTGAGTTTTCTTTAGTCAGATTTGTCTTTTGTGACTTGGATTTTCTATCGCACAAATATTTCACCACTACTAAATCAGTACAAACCTTTTACTAAATACTTTGAAATATTTTTCTTATTTTACTTAAATTTTTAATTCCTGGAATTTTAAATTCTTATTTATGTATTTTATTTTATTATTTATGTATTTTAGTTGATAGTAAAAATTATGTAGCCTGTTGATGTTGTTCTGAAATAAATATACTTAGCCATTCCACAGCATATGAACATACACACAGTGTAATGAGCATATATGCATTGTCTCCCATACTTGTTTCTGTGGTGAGTACAATTAAAACCTCTCATACAGATTTTTAGGAATACAGTGCACTGTTGTTAACTATGGTCACCACCTAATACCACCTGAGGTTTATTGCAGTCAGTGATGAATGATAGAAGTTGAACTCGATTCTTTTCCACATGGATAACACGTTTGCCAGCACCGTTTATTAGATCACTAACCTCCCTTACAAAGTTGAATGTCACTTTTATCATACTTTGCACTGTTAAAGCTTTAGCTTCGTGTACTTAAGGCTCTTGAAGCAATTCTAAGAGTTCCAGAGATGTCTTTAAACTCGGAGCATGCTTACTGTGCTTCTTCTCCACCCCCTCCACATCTCCCTCACTCTCTCTTCCTGCCTCTTTCTCTCTTTTCTTTCTGCTCTCCTTCCTTTTCCCTTCCGTTATGGCGACCAGTCACTTCTTTTCAAACATGTTTAAAAGATCTTGAAATATAACAAGAATATTTGCATTGTCATATTGAGAAAGCTATCGCCCTAGCCCCTGGAAAAATGTGCCTATAAAGTAATTTTATACCAACCTTTTATGCATGGTTATCTTTCAGTTTACTGTCTGGTTTTATATTTTATTGTTTTCTCATATTTGCATGTATGATTTTTTAGGGTCCAAAACTTTTGGCTAAATATCGAGTGAAATCATTTCTCACTCCATACTGTTCCCTGGAGACCCCAGTGGATTTTGCACTCTATAAATATGTGGTCATGGCCCTGATTGACCTTCTAGGAGGAAGAATGTATTTTGCTTCCAAAGTGTTAACACCGTACTGTTACACCATAGGTAAGTAGTAGCAGGAGTCAGGTGGTTTTGAACAGAAGCACCTTGTCCTCTTGGAGTCATGGGGGGTTTGGTAGCCACTGAAGGTCCCCAGAAACGTAGACTGGAATTGCCCCTTCCTCAGAGGCAGCCGAGCAGTGGTTACAGTGGGGCTGGGGAGTTCGGACTGGGTTTGACTCTCACGTATTAGCCACACAGGAGAAGCTGTCCTAGGCACAGCATTTTAACCTTTTCCTGCTTCTCTCCTCATCTGTAAGATGAGAGAAAGAAGAACGGAGATCTCAAAGATTGAGGATTAAATTATTAATACCAGGCAAATAGTAAATGCCCAGTAAATGTTAGCTGCTGTTGTAATCCATGCCTGTGCTGTCCAAACGCTCTAGCCTTGATAGAGTGGCTTTAAAGTTAAAATTCAAAATCCGTTTCTTCAGTCACACTTAGCCGTATTTTAAGTGAGGAGCCACATCCGTGTGGCTCGTGGCAACCAGGTAGGACTTGGCTGTTACACACATTTCAGGATTGCAGATGCTTACCAGACCCTGCCTTTCTGGCCCTTGAGTCCTTTCAAATTGATGAGTTAAAGAAGAATCATCTCATAAAGGACAGTGGCCCCTAGGCTTCCCGTGATCCCGTCTCACTGCTTGTCTTCTTCACTGGACTCTTCAGAAAAGAACACGGTGGACCGGACGCGAGGGAGGGAGGGAGGGAGGGAGAGGGGGAGGGAAGGAGGCTGGCTGGTCGTGCTTGAACCACACGGTCAAGTTCAGGATGCTCTGCCCCACCTAGGCCACTTCAAGCCAGTTGCAGGATTCGAGTTACACAGCTGTCTGTGCTTAACCTGAAGGTTGGCTTTGCTCTAAATTGAAAGATCTCCTCCACTGGCACAAGAGGAGAAAGAAAGCAGCGGCCACAGGTCATTTGAGGAGCCACTGTTTGCTTTGGTGGTGCTGAGCCTTCTTACTGTAAGGCTGACTTGGTTGATCATCAAATCAGTTAAGTTACAGTTCTCACCAGCGTCTGGTTGTGGTCATTTGCAGCTTCACCTGCTGGTAAATGCAATTTGGAAGAGACTACAGAGGAACATGGGAAGGGTGTCTGTGAGGTGTCACAGGAAGAATTTTTCCTTTCCTCTCTCACCAGATGTTGAAATTAAATTAGATGAAGAAGGATTTGTCTTACCATTTACAGCTAATGAAGATGTCAATAAAAGGTAAAGAAAATTGTGGTTTGTACTGTTAGAAGACTTGTCAGAGTTAAGAAACATTTTTCTTAGTAAGGTGAAAAAATAGACATGATTTTGGAGATTAAAATGCATTTCAGCATATCATTTTTGCAAGTCCTTGTAATGTTGTACAAACATTAATAAAAGTTGAATGGTTTTTCAACAGATTATTCATGATTTATTTTAAAACAATATTGGCACTTAAGACTAACCAAATCCCACATAAATTCTAGCAGTGACAGTATATAAATATTTTGAATTGTTCTACAAATTAGTTTTCTTTCTCCATTTTGATTTCTCAGGATAGCACTGTGCATTGATGGTCCAAAAAGGTTTTGCTCCAATAGCAGTCACTTACTAGGAAAAGAAGCTATTAAACAAAGACACTTAAGATTACTTGGTTATCAAGTTGTTCAGGTATGGTGTCACTTTTTTCCCAAAAACAATTCTTACTTCAACTTTGCATTTTACAGGTACTATTAATTCTGCTGAGTCATGATAAAATTTTAAAATGGTTTTTATTTGAGCAAATCTTTCTTCATGAATTGGGCAATGCCAAACTAGAAGGGACTTGGCACTCTACCAGGGGAACATGAAAGGAAGTCTTTTAAGAACAGACACAATGAAGCAAAGAAAATAGTTGATTGGCTGTAGGTATATAGCTTCCCAATTTGACCTGTTGTTTTCCAAAGTCCCTAGTTATGTAATTATAAATTTGTGGGATGCCTCTGAGTGGCTGAGCTGAAGTTCTCTCTTTTTTATTACATATCTTTATAAGAAATGGCCCAACTGTTGCTTAAGATTGTAGTTGAAGCAAGGTTACAGTTATTTTTCATGGCCCAACTAACATATCTGCTCCAGGATTTTTCAGGGCTAGTGTCTGTTTTAACAGTGGACAGCCTAATGGAACAAGAATCTTAGATCCTGTTTAAATCTCATGGTATGACTTTATTGGCTGGTCTTAGACTTCTTGACTTAAATTTTGAAATACAGACTTTTCAAAGCTTTGGTTTTTCAAATGCAGGGCAGTAGAGCACACCTACATTCCTATAAGGCAGAGATGTCAAACCTGGTAAAGACCGAGTG